CCATCACTAAGCAATGTGGTCATGTGATGTTGCACTTTATGACCACATCGCTTGGCAACAGAAATTCCAGTCCCAATTGCCATGGTAACTTGAAGACTACCTATAAGTTTATTTCTTGCAACAGATCACATACTTTCCATTACCTTTTTATCAATATTGATATGTCTTAAAATTTCTTCATCCACTTTTCCATTTTCACAACCATTTTATCGATCTACTTGCTCAAATTTTCTTATTCACACTCTTTTCCCTGTTAGTTACAACCACCTTGATCTTCAAAATAGACCCCTCATTGTATTCTATAGTTTGTCTAATACTCCTGGCAAATTATTGGGTGATAAACCAATTCAGTAATGTGCAATTGTCTGCTTATAAAAGTAAGACATTTATGCTGTAAGGCAACACACCTCTAACATCATGATATTTGATTGATTAGTATCAACTGTTTAGCAACCACATAGATGGACCTTCTTTAGAATGATTTAGTGCCAACCTGGCCCTTCAGGTCTTCCAACAGTGCCCCATGGCCACTGTAAATGAGCCCATCCACTTCATTTCTTCTAGTTATCCTCTTCTCTTTTGTTCCACCTTTCCCAGCATTATACACTTCTCAAGAGACCTAGATTTTTGTATAATATGCCCTTAACAGGAAAATTTGAGATTGATCATTTATGTCTCAAATGAGAACTCTGAATTGATTTGTTCTGTGATCAATTTGTTTGTTTTCTTCTCTACCTATGGTATTCTCAGGAGTCTTCTCTAACACTAACATTCAAAACTGTCAATATTCTTTCTGTTATGCTTCTTCAAAGTTCAAGTTTTGCTTCCATAGAGTATGGCAGGAAAAACTATTGCCTGCACCACTCTGATCTTTGTAAGGATAAACATGGGATGGTATCTGAGTATTTTTTTTTTTAAGGTCTTGATTGCTACTCAAGCAAGTGCTAGTCAGCAGCATATTTCTTGACTGCTGGTTTCTTTAGTGTTAATAATTGAATCTAAAGTGCAGAAACTGTCTACCACTACTTTATCTTAATTGTCAGTTCTACCACTGGGTGCTGTAGCTGTCATTAGTTTGGTCTTTATATTTATTCTTAGTCCCATTTTTTTCACTATGCTTATTGACTTTCATGATATGAGTTTCCAAATCATTTGAATTTTCAACTCTCAGAGTAGTGTCATCGGCAAAGTGCAGGTTATTGATTTTTTTCCTCCAGTTTTAAACCCATGCTGATCTTCCAATCCAAGCTCCCTCAATATATTTTCAGAATTACAGGTTGAATAAATAAATAACCCTTGTGTCACCACCCCTTTGTTGATCTGGTACCAGTCTGTTTTGCCATGTTCCATATGGCTGCTTCTCCTGTTTATAGGCTGGCCATGAGGACAGTTAGATGTTCAAGGATTCTCATTTTCGTAAGGACATGGTCAACACAATTGAAGGCCTTTCTATAATCAGTGAAAGATGCATTGACCTCTTTTTGGTATTTTTGGCTTTCTTAATTAACCCGCATGCATCAGCAATAATATTTCTTATCCTTTAGCTTTTCCTAAAACCAGCTTGAATATCTGATATCTCGCTTTCCATGTAGGGCTCTAATTTCCTAAGCATTATTTTGCTAGCATATGAAGTTAAATATATTGTACACTAGTTTGCACACTCTGCTAAGTCTCTTTTCTTTGATATTGGTGTGTAGATTGACCTCCAATCCTTTGGTCATTGTGCTGTTTTTGAACTTTGTTGGCATAGTTTGGTTAAAACTGTTATAGGTTTTGTTTTTTTGTTTTTTGTTTTGTTTTAGTTGCATGCCATATTTCTGTAGATATTCCATCAATTCCTATAGCTTTCCAACTTGGTAATGACCATAGTGCTGATTAAACTTCTAGTAGCTCTTGTAAATAGGAAATATCTTCTAAGGTATCTTGAATGTCGACATCTCTACTCAGTTTCAGTATATTCTTTCCATCAGTTATTATTTGTCCACTGGGGTCCTTTAGCATAGCAATTCAAGTTTGGAAACCCATTCTGACTTTGGAGAACTTTTGGAAGACTTTTCTTGTTTTTCTGTTTCCATCTCATCTTTACAGATGCCATTGTAATACTGCTTCTTGTCTCTTCTAACATCTCTCTGAAATAAGTTCCTTCCTCCATTATAGAAGTTACCCTCTTTATCTGAGGTTTCATGGAGTAATGACCAGACCTCAGCATATGTGTTATGGTTACAGATTTCAGGTATCTGTAGTTTTGGCCTTGTTTTTTGTTTATTTTGTTTGTTTCTTTATGCATGTCCAAAATGGTGGACAGGTTTTGCATATGCATAAAGTACATATTTTAAAGGTTTAGGTCTTCTACGTAATGTATTTGCTCATTCTTCTTGGTCAGTCGTTGTGGATATTACTGGTTCAGCTTAGTTGTGGGGCTGCATATGGCTTCTGCATGGCAACTGTCCACCTTCTTTGGAGCAACTTGCTTGGCTGCTGATGGAGATTGTTGTTCCACTTGCACCATGCTGGCTTATTAACATAATTTTTTCACAATCTTGGTGGTTTTGACTCTCAACTGCATTGCTAGATGTTTGTGTTGCTTGCAAACCGTGGCTTACTATGATGACTACATGGTGCTTATTGTTGGGGCCGTATTATTTAAAGCCTTGTGATCTAGCTCAGCAAAGTCCATCACAACTAAACAGGAGAAGGAGAACTAAATGCACTGCATAGGTGATCTCAGAAGATGGAAGAGAAAATACTTGTGGAGGAAGAGAACTACTGTAGGTTTTGGAACCTAGCCTCCCAAATCCCATAGTCTCGAGGTTTCATTGTTTGCTGCTTCATTATCTGTGTTATTACATTGTAACTGAACTCTGCATATTATAAGGACCACTTGTTATTTATTTATAAATTCATTCAGTAGTCAGGGGGACATCATACATCTCTGTTTTATTCACTGCTCAATGTTGAACTGTCCTATTGAATAAATGGAATGTGCCATGCATGCTTGACTTCATATGTCACTCTTAGTACATTCAGTAACTAACTTTCAATTCTATATCCTTATAAAACATTTCATAATTCAAACCTATTTACTTTATTTCAACAAACCAACAATGATACAGTAAACTTTCTCATGTCAGTACATTTTTTGAGGCGGGAGCTTTATTTTAATCCATAGTTTCTGTATTTCTGCCAAGAAAGCAATATTGGAGTGCCTATTTATTTTATATCCTGCATTTCCTTCAGGAGTTCATTGTACATTGCACTACTTTTTCAGTTTTTCTCCTCAACAGCAACACTGTGGAATAGGCTGAGCTGAGAGAGAGAGAAAGTGGCTTAAAATTAGTTGGGTGAGCTTCCATGAATCTGGGTGTCTCTAGTGCTATTTCAACATCAAGCTTAGTTCAAAAGAGACCTTTTAATATCTGTTTTCAGGATATGCATTACCCTTAATCTCTCCTGCCACACACTTTAAATTATTGTGGGTGGGGGGGGGGCGTTATATGTGGTTAGGATAGAACAGAAAAATGTAATTTCTAGTACAGTACCCTAGTATTTTCCATCAAGAAGGAAATATATGGATCAGGACAACATCTGGAAAAGAGTTGGATTGGCAGGTGTTTAGGATGGAGAAGAGAGCAATTTTATCAAGTGAAAAGACTGAAGAAGGCAAACAGTGGAATTATTACTCTCTATAATTATAACAATGTTTCTCAAAAGTGCCAACTTGATTTATATGTTTTTTGTAGTTTTTTATTGGCATTAAAAATGAGCTTGTTTTCCCTGAAAAAAATACAGCTGTGAGCTTTTTCTTGAATTGATGTTGTTTCTTGTTATAACTTTGCTTTCAGCCTTCTTTTATTATTTTAAAAATATTTAGGTATTGATGCAGAACTTTATTATGTGAGGAATGACCTGATCAATCACTTTGCTTTGTCATTTAATCTACAAGTACCAGTAGAGACAAACAGCCTTCATTTCACTTGGCATGCGAAGTCCAAGGTAAGGAATAGCTATTTTTCTGAATGAATTAAATAGAATCATTATTCTTTGTGTGCCTTTGCAGGATTGGTCTTAAGGTGAAAATGCTGTGAACAGTCAGTGCAGGCTGAATTTGCACTCCTACTTTAAATCTGTTTTTTTCACTGCAATGAGAATAGCCAGTTGGAAATAGCAAGATTATATATTTTGTGTACTTGAAACCACAATATTCTGAGTGCAGCAAAAATCTTTACTGTACAGCAGAATGCCTCCCAATAGAAGAGTATGCCTCATTTATTTGGAGGAAGAACAATATTGAAATGAAATTAGTAATATTTTTCTTCATTTTTATGATTTATATTTTAAAATATGAATAGTTTTGTCCAAAAGTATTCAAATGTTGTTACATAACTAACAAATACTGGCATGTTTCCAGATTAGATCTTTTGAATTTAAAAATTCAAACTGCTGTTTGGTGAGAATACTTGTGCCATTGTTTTTTGAGAATATTTGTAAAAATGGGAAAAATAAATAAACTTAGCTTGCTTTCATTAAATATAATTGTTAGAGGATAATATAATCAAACATTTCACATTTTACTCTGGGAGAAAGAAAACAGCTAAATACAATAGAATAGGTTTTCTCTATATATTTTAAAGGTATTCCTACTTTTATGCATGTATGTTTGGAATACAAGTTCCATTGTGCATTACTAAGACTTGCTTTATATATATATACCTTCCAAGTAGTTAAAATCACTGAAGACATTTGGATGTTTTTGAGAAAGAAAACAGCTAAATACAATAGAATAGGTTTTCTCTATATATTTTAAAGGTATTCCTAGTCTAAAGAAGCAAGAGACAAAAATACTTAAACAACATTATAAAATTCTGCTTGTTTTTATTAGTGTTCATTGCTTTCAGATAAAGGAAAAGGATAATTATGCTTGCAGTTAAGGTTAGAGGACCAGGTAGAGATTTTTGTCAGAGTCACAGTGAACCCTGGAAAGAAAGGCAGGCCTAGACTTGGAACAGCACAAAAATAACCCTCAGCTCTTCCCTTCAACACTAGAATGGAAAGCTAGAAGCAACAGTTTGGATATTACCGTATTTTTCCGACTATAAGATGATACTTTTTTCTAAAATCCTTACCCTAAAAACT